CATCCGCCCCCGTCTGGCCGTCCTGGCGCAGGCGGCCGCCGTGAAGCGCCGCAAGGAGGTGCCTTTCGACAACGTGATCCAGCGGGACAAGAAGCTGAAGCTGGTCCTCAAGCTGCGCAACATCCTCGTGTCCCACCCGGACCGGGTCATGAGCCTGCGCGACCTCGGCCGCTTCCGCCGCGACCTGGGGCTCACCCGCAAGCGCCGCCTCATCGCGCTCCTCAAGCGCTTCCCGGGCGTCTTCGAGATCGTGGAGGAGGGCGTCTACTCGCTGCGGTTCCGCCTCACCCCCGCCGCCGAGCGCCTCTACCTCGACGAGCTCTACCTCCGCAACGAGTCCGAGGGCCTCGCCGTCGCCAAGCTCCGCAAGCTGCTCATGATGTCGCTCGACCGCCGCATCCTCATCGAGCGGATCGCGCACCTCAAGAACGACCTCGGCCTGCCCTCCAACTTCCACGACACCATCTGCCTCAGGTACCCGCAGTACTTCCGCGTCGTCAGGATGGACAGAGGGCCCGCGCTGGAGCTCACGGAATGGGACCCCGAGCTGGCCGTGTCCGCCGCCGAGATGGCAGAGGAGGAGAATCGGGCCAGGGAGGCCGAGGAGAGGAATTTGATAATTGACCGGCCGCTCAGGTTCAACCGTGTGAAGCTGCCCAAGGGGCTGAAGGTGTCGCGGGGAGAGGCGCGGAGGATCGAGAAATTCAGAGAAATGCCGTACATTTCGCCTTACGCCGACTTCTCGCACCTGCCGTCGGGGTCCCCTGAGAAGGAGAAGCATGCCTGTGGGGTGGTTCATGAGATTCTAAGCCTGACACTTGAGAAGCGCACGCTGGTTGACCATCTGACTCATTTCCGGGAGGAGTTCCGGTTCTCGCAGTCTCTGCGGGGAATGCTCATTCGCCACCCTGACATGTTCTATGTGTCACTCAAGGGAGATAGGGACTCCGTGTTCCTCCGTGAGGCATACAAGAACTCGCAGCTGATCGAGAAGAGCCATCTGGTGTTGCTTAAGGAGAAGATGAGGGCTCTTGTTGCGGTTCCACGCTTCCCTCGGCGTGGTGGGCCTAGGACTGGTGAGGAGACAGAGGGACCCAATGGTGCTGCGCAAGGGTATAATGAAGGAAGCGACATGGAAGATGTCGAAGACGATGATTTTTCAGACATGGAAGATTTGATTGGGGAACTTGGTGGCAAATCTGACAACAGCGGCTACCGCTGGGGTGATGGCTGGGTTGGCGAGAGTGATGGCTCGCCACCGGACTTTGGAGATGGTGATGACTCAAGTCCACAAGAAGTCGAGGCACCAAAAGCAAAGAGTAATGCAGCCAATGATGCCAACGACGACTCGTCTGTTCCTGTATTTCCTGACGGCAGACAACGGGAACGGTGGTAAACTGAGCTATTTAAAGATTTAGCTGATAGCAATCTTAATCTATATTGTTAGTTTTATCATCCTATCTGATGTCTTTTGATGTGCTCTGCTGGGTTGTTGGCTAGTGTTTATCACCGAGCGCGTGAGTAGCTTACAGTATTATATTGTGAACAACCTGCATGATAACACTAAAACTGTCTTCAGTACAGTTCTGCGCCGAACATTCACAATAGACATATATGTAAAACTATATATGACATGAATGAAAGATAGTCATGGCTGCAAATGTACCTCTTGATTTGAAAATTTTGGGTGCGTGATTGATCATACCTTGTGATGTGTCGATCTGTTTTCAAGGGCTAAGTGTGAGCTGTCAAGAGTTCCCTCTTGTGAAAAATGGCTTTGTTGTTCATACTGTTAAAAGTGTCTACTTGGAATCTTTAATCTGTATTGTTAGTTTTTCATCTTATCTGATTGCAAGGCCCTCTGCCTTTTTATGTGCACAGCTGGCTAGCCTTACATATCACCAAGCACATCATTAGAATAACAATATCACATTTTGAACGACCTGCACGATAACACTAACACTGTCTTCAGTACAGTCCTCCAACAAATAATCACAAATAGACATATTTGTAAAACTATATTTCGCATGAATGAAAGATAGCCATGGCTGCAAATGTACCACTATTGAAATTTGGATGCATGACAGATCATACCTTGTGACATGTTGACACGTATGCAAGGACTATCAATTGTCAAAATACGATGTGTCGTATAACATCTTGTTAGCCATGCTGGGCTCCTGTTTTGAAAAATGGCTTTGTTGTTCATACTGTTAAAGGTGTCTACCTAGAATTTTTAGTCCGCATTGTTAATTTTTTCATCTTATGTGCTTGCAAAGCCCTGTCTTTTGATGTATCGCCGAGCGCATGAGTAGCAGATAGAGTCGTATTTTAACAATCAGCATGATCACACTAAAATTTTCTTCAGCACAGCACTCCCAAGATACAGTGTGTTAATATAAGCTCTTTGTCTGCCATTTAGGTAAACTGTTTGAAAAAGAGTTGTGTTCGCTTGTACAGTTAACAGAGTATCCTGAATGGTCTGCCTGGAAGGCCGGCAGAATGCACCTTGTAACCTCTGAACTTGTGCAGAATTATTCATGTGCTTTCATGCAGCTTCGTCCTGCCTTGTGCATAAATTCAGATGGAAGTTTGCTTGTGGTTTATAAGATAATATTTAACCTGCTAGAAATCTGGGCAAGTGCCACTGGGCATCAACTGAAGTTGATGTCAAAAACAACAGAGATGTAGAGCAGAAATTCAGGTGTCTGCAGCAGTGGAATGTCTACACTGAAATGCAAAATAAGATGGAAGTTTGCTCCGTAAGAAGTCACCAGGTCAGGACCTTGTGCATATATCGATCTCTTGCAGCCTAACTGTTGGGGATATTACTATCAGTTGAGACCCGCCCAGGAGAGGCCGGGTCAGCTTTAATGGCGGGTTACACAAGAAGCTCAGTAGACATTCAAGTTTGTAGTTTATTAAGTTTTATAGAAGGCCCAAAGGCCTGGGGCCGGCTTAAGGCCCGCTATTGTAAGTAAACCGCCATATGTAAGGAAATACTTGTACAAGAAGGCATGTAAAGAAAGTCACCGAGCCGGACACAATTATGAGCCGGCCGGGACTTTGTAAGCCACCTGGCGTCAACCCGTGTATATAAGGGGACGACTCGGTGGCGGTTTAGGGCAAGAAACAACCAAGTCGATAACCAAGCCGGCGAGTTGAGTCTCTTGGAAGTCGAAACCTCAGCAATACCAATCCCAACTAGACGTAGGCTTTTACCTTTCATCGTAAGGGGCCGAACTAGTATAAAACTCTATCGTGTCCTTTGTCCCGATTAACCCCTTTAAGCTTCCTAGTGCGATGGCCCTACGACTAAGTCCTTGCTCTAGGACATCTGCCGTGTCAACTCCACGACAGTTGGCGCCCACCGTGGGGCCAGCGCACGGTGGATTTGAGTTCTTGAAGGGCAACTTCGAAGGGCTCAAGGGATACGCTGTGTGCCGGATGACCAAGAGTCGTCGCGACAAGATCTACATCGATGACGAAGGCTGGGGCCCCGAGGCCGGCTCAATCGAGTACGGGTACCGGATCCCCTTCGGCGGAATTCACGTCTTCATCGGCCGGATCAGCGAGTCAGGCCCTGAGCCGGATGTCCACACCGACCTCATCGAAACGGCTCAGCGCGCCGGGTCCGCCCGTGTTCAATCTGTCGTGAAGCATGCCTTCGTAGGCTGCATCCATGGCGGTGAATACTCCGAAGGATCGATGGAAGGCGGGGAGACGGCCATCTGCTCTGATACTGCATCATCAACAGGTGAGACGAACTCATTGTACCAACTACAAGACGGCATGCTCGGGGGCTGTTCCGATGGCAGCAGTATTCCGGACCCCCTTGAGCCGCCGAATTGGGCCGGAGTCTTTATGGCAAGGACACAGCCCGGGCAGAACTCCACCGCAGCGACAGCGGCGGCCACCAGGTCGGCAGCTGCCGGGTCAGGAGACCCCGCGCGCCCCCAGCTCAGGTTCTCATGGACCTCATGGATAAACTGACGACTCTGTTAACCGCCGCGGTAGAGCCGGCGGATAAAGCCCAGCATGACGTGGAAGTGGCGCGCGTGCGGAAGGAGATGGTGCAAGCTAAGGAAAATCTAGCCGCGGAGGAAACCCGGATGGCAGCAGAACGAGCAGCTTTGGATGCCCGTGCTCAGCAGTTTCAAGCAGAAACCTTCCGGCTCTCGGTGGATCTTAATGCATCAAATGAGGTCATGAGGAGGAGGCGTCAGAAAACTCAGTCGCGTCTGCCTCTAACGCTGGATTCGAGGAATCTGTTCCATACACCCGGAGCCGGAGGGAGCAACCCGCCGGAGGAAAACCGGGTCACGATGCCCGGTGCACCAGTTCAGCCACGCACCATGGAGCCGCCGTGCATGAATACAGCTCCTCCTCGTTATATATCAAAACCCCCGGGTCACTTCTCCAACCCCATGGAGAACCTCATTGCAGCGTCGGCTCGTTTGGCAGCTCTCCCAATGGAAGGCGACTCGCCAGCAGCAATTGAAACCCGGAGGGTAAGAGAACTACTTCAGACAACTTTGGCCCAGCAGAATGCATACTCCTACAGTCGAGATAAGATTCATTCAACTCCTCGCCCAAGCCGGAGCCCGAGTTATAGTAGGCACATGGAATCTGCAGAGATGTCAAGTAATTCTCAACACCACAACCGACCATATAGGCATGAGCCAGTGCGGGCTGGATCCGTTAACTTGGCGGATCAGGAGAGGATTCGTCAAGAGGCGGAACGGGCGGCTCAGATAGCAGCAGAGCAGGCGGCTCACCAAACCTTTCTGGCTTATCCAGCAACCTCGGTTGAGGCAGGAGTGGCTACAAGAACCGGAGGCGTACCTTGCCTGGTACCAGCCATACGCAATGAGCGGTTGCCCAAGGATTTCAAGGGACCTCGTAAGGTACCACTACACGGCTGACTTACAGGCGGGGGCTTGGATTGAGAGTTATCAGATGGCTATGGAGCTGTTAGAGGTTAGTGATGCTGCAATGGCCAAGTACTTTACCATGATGTTGGATGGAACGGCTCGGACCTGGTTGAAAGGATTACCACCCAATTCCATCGGCTCATGGGCAGAGTTGAAGGCATGGTTCATCCAGAACTTTAAAGACACGTGTAAGCAGCCAATGTCGATTGTGGACCTGACCAATTGCAAGCAAGAGGATGGAGAGTCTACAACTCATTGGGTGCGCCGGGTCAAGGAGATAATACATTCATCTGATAAAATGGACGCCGGCTCGGCAGTTTTGATGTTGGAGAAAAATTGCCGTTTTAAACCTCTGAAGCAGAAGTTGGGGCGGCTTAAACGTGACTGTAATGACATGGGAACGTTGATGGCGGCTCTTGTCAAGTATGCCGATTCTGATACCACCAAAGACCCGACATCTGATGAAGAAAAGGCAACAAAGGGAAAGAAGAACGGCAATGGCAAGGGCCACCAGCATAACCCGGCAAATCAAGGAGGTAATAAGCGTAAGGCTGATGAGTTTGTTGCTAATACTAATGCGCAGGATGGTAATCAGCGGCGCAAGGGCAGACAACCCCCTCGATTGGGCGGGTCAGGCCCCACCCTTGAGCAATTGTTGAATGAACCTTGTCCAAGACACGGCACCCGGGAGAAGCCAGCCACCCACTTATGGAAGGATTGCATGATCATGAAGGCGTTTAAAAATTCAAACGCATTTGACGGGGGTCACGGCCCGGGTGGTGGCTCAGGTGGAGGCGGCCTTCAGGGCCCGGGCGCCGGTTCAAGCGGAGGAGGTTTTCATGGTCAGGGTCATCCTGGTCACCAGGGAGGATATAATCAGCAACACGGCCAAGGGAATCAACAGCAACAACAACCCGGCTATCACAGCAACCCGAAGCAGTTGAGTAGTGGACAGTGTCATGTCTTTACTACCAGTTTATGTAAGAGAGACCAGAAACTCCACAAGAGGGCCGCCAATGCCGTTGAACCGACAATTCCACGTTATCTACGCTGGTCAGAGCAGCCTATTGTGTGGAGCAGAGAGGATCACCCGCTCCGGGTTGATAATCCGGGTCATTTGGCTTTGGTCCTGGCACCTCAGGTTGATGGGTACAAGTTTACTAAGGTACTCATGGATGAAGGCAGCATCATCAACATCCTTTACTATGAGACGTTCCGCCGGATGGGATTGACGGACAAAAATCTTAAACAATCCAACACTGTTTTTCATGGTGTGGTACCTGGTAAGTCGGCATACCCAGTTGGTAAGATCGAGCTGGAAGTAGCCTTTGGGGATGAGTATGACTCCAAAGCAGAAAAATTAACCTTTGAAGTGGTTAAAATTAAAAGCCCATATCATGCTCTGTTTGGGCGGCCGGCTTATGCCAAGTTCATGGCTCGGCCGTGTTATGTATATTTGCAG